TCTTATAATTGAACTAACTACTTTATATAGTGTCAAAGCAAATAAAATTAATCGTATTGTTTTCGATTCAATCACACAAACAATAGACTTTATCCCTTTTAAACCTTTGCTATTATTTTAATGGTCAAAGACATTCAAAATAAATAAAATAAACAATTCATGCAAGCATATTAATCTGCCGCCGAAAACTAAAGGACACCCTTGTAGGTAGTCTCAACTTCAAAATAAAATTTCTAAAACTTATACATATACTGACATATTCTGGGTAACAGAAACTTAAAACAGTCTATTATCTTTTATCCTTTGAAGTAATTATTTCAATCTAGCTTACAAGATTACTACAAGGCTTTAAAGAATAAGATAACAAAAAAAATAAACAAACAAATCAAAGCAAAGCAGCATCTCTATATTGTAAACAGTGCAATACAACCTTTGCCAAACTAGGCGTGAATCCAATTACTTTATATGGATCAAAACATAACAGATCTAGAAGTTTCACACAAGATTACGGTATTACCACTTGTCTTCAAGACAAACACTACAAAATTCTTGGTTCAGAAACATTAACAAGAATTTTACGCCACAAAATATGTAATTGTGTGAAAACTTCAAGTAAATAGACATTTTGATAAATTAAATTAAAATGCCTTGACTAACAAATTCAATGTGAACATGAATTTCAATCACAGAATACGTAAGGTAATTTAAACGCTAATCTTATATTTGGTAGTGCTTAAAACTTCCAATTGAAATAAAATTCTATTGATTTCAAAAATTCTAATTAGCGTAACAACAATTAGATACTGAACAACACAGGTAAAGGGTGGCTCTGATACCACATGTTGAAATTTAATACATACGTAGAGTCGTTGCAGTGGAAATTAAATAAGGAACATACCTTCAGCCATAATTGTTCAAGTATCGTAGAGTCGCCTTAGAAGAATCTTGACAGAAAACCTAGGGAGCCGTCTAGCTTGGGCCTATCGTAGGATGGCAGACTGATGGAATCACTGCGTATTTATAGGTAGGATAGGGGCTCTTAGACAAATACTTTAGTCCTAGGGACTTCTCCATAAATTATAATTACCCTAGGGACTCCTAATATATGGTAATTTCTTTCCATCAAAGACACTACCATATATGCATGACTATAAAATATTATGTGATATATTATTTCCTTTGGTATACAAGATAAATAATTTATTACCTTATATGTAGGCCGTACAAGAAGTCTCTACAAGAGGCGTTAAACTTTTAACACGAAATACATTTTTGTTTTTAGAGAACTAACAGTACTTGTTTTTTCACTTATTATTTAGTCGCATCTGTATTTTTCTCAGCTTGTTTATCTGCATGGGACGTATATGCTTCTTTTCTTTTTTCAACTGGAAATGACATAAGACAAGAGATGGTGTCTCGAAAAGCATTTTTGCCCCTTATCGGCAGTTCTAAGAGTAGTTCTTTAGTAGATTATCACATATGTTTTCTAAGATTAGATAGAAGTAGGGGTGACAAAACTTACCCAAACTCATTTGACTTGCTCAATCTGTCTAAGTTTTAATGGGTTTGGGCTAGAACAATTTTGAAAATGAGCTATTTTGAGCTAGCACAAGTTAATCCATCAAAAATCATCAGCCCAAATGGACCCATGATGATGCCCAACCTTAACCCATGGAAATGATTAATCTTAGAGTTCCACCTTGACTCATGTTCTAAAAAATATTTTTTAATTTTCCCATGTTAGGTGTTTTAAATATTTTCTTTGTGAATTCGTTTTCCTCCAATTAGAGAAAAAAAAAATTTATAAAAAAATATTTTTCAAATATTTAAACCTAACTTACATGGAAAATGAAAAAGAAAATACTCTATCTAACATTATAAAAAAATATGTTTTCTGCAATAGGAAAAAAGTACTCATTTTGTGAAAAAAAGAAAATTCTTTTTCTACAACATGAAAAGAAAGTACTCATTTTGTAAAAAAGAAAATACTATTTTTACATCATAAAAAGAAAGTACTTATTTTGTTGAAATGAATGAAAATAATGTTTCTACATAATAAAAGAAAAATTTATTTTTTGAAATAAAAAAGAAAATACTTTATCTACAACATTAAAAGAAAGTACTCTAAATAATATTTCTATTTAGGGTGGGGGTGGGGTGAGGGTTTGGGGCAGGGTAGGGATTGGAGTAGTGAGAGGTAGGTTGGGGTGGGTAGGAAGTTCTAATTTTACTACTTTGTTATTCTAATCTTTGTTAGTATGATGAAGTACTATCAATCAAATTCTAAAGGAAAATTTTCGTTCCTATACCATATAGGAAACTATATTACCAAATATGTTCATAGTTTGTATATTACCCTTCATGCTAATAGTATTTCTACAAAATATAGATCATGCATTAAATAAGAAATCATTGTAGCTGTAGGCTTTCTTATTTAGGCGCACTAAAATTGAGGGATTAAATATTCTTCCAGATCTTCCAAACGCAAATCACGCACATTAATCTTCTTCGTCAGTTTCGTTTCAAATTTAGCTTCTCTACATCAAACGCAATTATTCTTCTACAATTCAAAAACGAATTGATTATTCTTCTACAATTCAAAAACGAATTGATTATTCTTCTACAATTCACAAATCAAAAACAACTAAATCTTCTACAATTCTTCGACATCAAACGCAATTATGTTCAAATTTCAGTAATACAAAGCAAAGGAAAAGAGAGCAGCAATTCCACCATTGACAACCATTAAAAAGTTTTGAAGCTTTGAATTTAGATTTGGGTTTTCAAAAATCATTATTTGTTTGGATTGAGTGTTGTTGCAAATAATTGGGAATATGATTTGGAGTTTATATCTCAATTTTGAGAGGTTTTGGTGAAGATTAGACTTGGTTTTGGCTGAATTTCGGATTGTTGAAGAAGAAGAAGAAGAAGAAGAAGAAGAAGAAGAAGAAGAAGAAGAAGAAGAAGAAGAAGAAGAAGAAGACATGACATACATTATATTGCAAAAATTGTAGATAAATTGTAATTAAATTGTAGAAAAATTGTATTCTGTTGTTTATTTATTTTTCTTTTATTCATTTAACTATTGTATGAAAGTTGAACAACATTGTATAAAAATTATATTTAAGTGGTATTATATTGTAGTTATATATAACTTAGAAGAAATAATGTATGAAAATTGTAGATAATTTGTAGATAAGTTGTATAATATATAATTAGTTATATGAAAATTATTTTTAGTATGTATAAATCATATACAAAATATACAAAAGACATATTGTATTTGTATAAAATTTGTATGTAAGTTTTATGTTATTGTAGTTGTATTTCACTAGGTGGAAATAATGTGTGTAAGTTGTAAAAAATTATAGATAAGTTGTATTCCCCTATAATGGGAGATGTTGGCATATCAAGTAACTTTAGTGTTCCAGACGAACATGCATGAAAATAAAGATAAATTCTGTTATGAACAGTTTGTAGATATTTTGTAGATAATTTGTAGAAACATTGAAATTCTGTATTTTCATATTAATTTTTCAAATGATATGTAGTTTTGTTGTAGATTAAATGTAGAAAACAAGTCATTGTGAGGCTTACTTGACTTATTCCTCACATTCAACTTATTCTACAAATTCACACCTCTTTAAATACAATACAACCATACTTTCTTGAATTTAAAGGTATAGCAATATATATAACTTAAAAAACTTCTTCTCCTCTGCACAAGTTAGCTCCAAAACAGACGAAGTGGAATAACAAGCTCTCATCAAAACTTTTAACACAAAAACACAAAAGCTCAAAAATAAATAAACAACGGTCTACAATGTTTCTACAATTGCTGAAATATAATGTATGTCATGTCGTCTTCTTCTTCTTCTTCTTCTTCTTCTTCTTCTTCTTCTTCTTCTTCTTCTTCTTCTTCTTCGTCGAGTTTCAATCTGAAATTCAACCAAAACCAAGTCTAATCTTCACCAATACCCCTCAAAATTGAGATATAAACTCCAAAACATATTCCCAATTATTTACAACAATACTCAATCCAAATAAATAATGATTTTTGAAAACCCAAATTTGAATTCAAAGCTTCAAAACTTTTTAATGCCTGTCAATGGTGGAATTGCTGCTCTCTTTTTCTTCCCTCTTATATTACTGAAGGAACCCGAAATCATAACCATCAAAAGTTATTGCTGTGTATGAACTTTGAAGATTTGACTTCAATTCTGACTGGTTGTAGAAGAAAAAACCTTGATTTTGGACGTTAATAGTAGAGGGTTTCAATTGTTTTTCTGGTTTTAGCAGAGGAAATAATGGTTTGAAACGTGAGTGTGTGGTGATACGTGGGTGAGGGTGTGGGGTTGGGAGAGAGAAACGTGGGGGGTGGGGATTTGGAGGAATATACGGTACCATAAATTTAGGAGTGATATAAGGTACAATTAATGTACAGTTAAAACACCTTATGATATAGAATTGGTAATTAGGTATACTAAATGTAATTATATCAAACCTTAAACATTGAGAGTAATATAGTTTCATATATGGCATATGAATGTAAAATTCCAATTCTAAATCCAAATTAAAGAAAGAAATCATTTGGCATAAATTGACATTTATTACAAAACATTAGATAATTTTTGTATATGCTTCTTTAAAAGTTAGAATATTGCAAAGATTTGGGTCAATTTAGGCGGATTGGGTTACAACCCATTGTTTAGCACATCTTAACCCAAGTGAACTTTGTGCAGGGTTGGACAATGACTCATTTAATGAGTCAGCCCATCTTGACCAACCCAAACAGCCCATTTGCCATCCCTAGAAGTGTCACCCTACATTTGATCCTTCTTTTATTCCGTGGTGTCTATCTTTTACTTTTTGATTTGCTTATTTGGAGGAAATACTAATCCCTCTATCTCTTAAGCATACGACTCGAGTAATAAGTTTAGATTGCAAGGAATTGGAAAATGCTCCTAAATTGAAGCACTCTAAATTTTTGAAGTCCAAAGGATAGAAAACTGGACGGCAGATAATTTCTTTGGCATTCCCTGTAAATGTCGAGGTATATCTCCTTTTTTCAGATCAAGCTATAATTCTGTGAGACAAAAAAGTGGGAATATGTACAACATCCAAATGCAGAAGAATATTTATGTACAAAACAAATTTAACTTTATCTAACTTCTGCATCCTTGATAAGTTCAGGCTGAATAATGCACATCGAATTTACTGCCCGCCAAAACTGGGTATTTTACAATTCTCTGCCATCTAGCCATTCCTTTTGATACTACTGGATATGATCACAGCAAATGTTACAATACTCTATTGTGTGCTTCGATCATTGAAACTTTCTCCTGCAAAAAAAATTCATCTCATCTACAATTAGCATCAACCTGGAAAATAAAACAGCATTTTCGGCCACCATGCAGTAAAGTTTGCGTCAATTGGTCCATGATCCCAGTGAGAAAAACTACCTCATCCGGCGCGATATTTTCCACAGGAAACCAGTGCATAAGAACTCCCAGGTGCATGATAGCAGGTATCAACTTGAACAAGACTGGGGTTGTAACCTGCACAAAATTATCAATCATAAACATCAAATAAGAAACAAATAGCATCGGCAGTATATCCTCAAGCAATTTGAAGATTTAGAAGCTCACAAGACTTAGAGCAGTTGTTCCGAGCAGAAGAAGATACATCTTTCCCTGTATATGTAAAAGAAACTTAGCTGAATTCAAGAGAAGTGATAAAGTGGCATTTGAGTGGAACAAATGAAGTACTTGGTGAAATTAGATAATATGGCACAAAGTATCAGTTATTCAAGAGACTTGTTTCTTAATGCAAAACAAACAGAGTTTCTTTAGGGCCTTTTTTCTTTCTTTCTTTCTTTTTTTTTTTTTTAAAAAATAAGTAGGAGGTCTTCTAAATTTTCTTGAAAGCTAATCTTCACTGGGAAAAATGTTAATGGTGGCATTACGTGGAACAGTTACACTAATAACATCTAGACAGCCTGGAAAACTTAGCTCAGGAAAAAAAAGACAAATGTCTCCTTTTTTTAAAATTACAGGTTGATCAAGAAACTAAACTGCCGACTGGAGAGTTGTATATATCTACTGTTTAGAACCACAATGACTGACACATTAAAAGCTTATAATTCAACTAGGGAAAATTTAAATTACATTATACGTACATGTAAAACACACTGTCATGCAGAGTTGTGATTGAAAACGAAATCAGAGAACCACTTGGTGACCTTTAACCTTGTATCGGAATATAAATTCAAATTGTGCCATCTTACTACTTTAAAACAACATAAACACTGGAGCACATAATCTATCTCCACAAAAGCAAGTGCAATTCCTTTATTTCATAAACTTAAGACATTAAGTGGAAGAGCATGGGGAGATCAGTGTTGCGCTTTGAATGTAAAAGCCTTTTTGCCTCTTAAAAGGTATTATGAAGAGGAAGGTCCAAAACTATAAGGAACATAACAAGAGAAAAAAAGATCGGTAGGATGAGATCACCTGAACAATATGCAGGTTTGAGGCACGACTCAAGAGCACAAATGCAAATTCTCCAATTTGTGCAAGCAAAAGCCCAACCTGTAAAGTTATTCAAACTCATAAAAGATAAGGCAATATAATTTTTGTCTAACAAGTGTTTAGATGGATGACTTACAATAACTGATGTCCTAATGTTATATCCAAAAACCTTTGTAATCATGGTGGCTACAATAGTCTTAAAAACTATAACCAAGATAACTGATGCTAGCAAGATATCCACATGCGTCCATAGGAACTGTACATGTATCAGCATTCCGATACTAGCGAGAAAGAGAGCTGCAAAGAGATTACGAATTGGTTCCACCTACAAGTAATATTAAGACACTTAACAATCGCAAGCATAGTTGGGAAAATTAAAGTAAATATAGTCTGATGCTTCCAAGCATGCAGTCTGTCATTATTGTACAGCAAAAATGGTAAGTAAAAAGCTATTTCTGATATTTTCTTTTTCCATATATCCAACAATGAAAAAGAAATACAGCTACTGATGAATAGTAAATTTTCTTACTAAGTAATGAGGGACCTACTCAAGCATTACTGGAAAAACAAGACGGAAAAAGGATAGAATGATGAAAGAGAAGGGAAGTAAATCCTTTAGAGATTAGAAACTTTCTAAAATCAGTGGAAAAAGTATAAATAGAAGAGGATGACCAAATCAGAAATCATTGTGTTAAAAGATGTTGTAAGATGCCAGAATGTTCAGAAAAAATGAGAAAACTCATAGCAATATCTACATACATAAGATTGGTGAGTTGAAATAGAAAAATGAACTTTGAAGTAAGGATGCCTCATAGATTTGTTCATGGTCTACATTATATTTTATGTCTTAATGAAAGCATGAGCAAAGAAACATCCTATCATAAATCAATACCTGGTCCAAGGTATGTTGTGCAAAGTCTGTTGTGGATATCATAACCCCGGCTACAAATGAACCCAGCTCAAGACTGAGTCCCAGCTTATCACTGCACTGAAGAATCAAAAGAAATATCTTCAGTATTCTCTGGATCTGCTTACTAGGTAGTCGCTAATTCTTCAGAATGCATTTACAATGTTTCAGGAATATATATATTATATCCCCATTTTTAGTAAAGAATATTATGACGGCGTTCCAACTAACCCAAGCAGATAATAAGCAGAATGCCACCACCGCAAGCTGATACAATTCATTGGTCTGAAAATGACAAGGAATTCAGAAAGCAAACAACGTGAAAAGGAAAAACGGAGTAAAGCATGAAGCTCAGAAGTGTATAAAAACACATGCAGTAGAGCTGATTCATATAAACTATTTATTGTCAGCCTCATATCCTGGCATCAACTGACAAAAGCTGTAGTTTCAAACAATTATGGCCGGTTTGGTACTACGGAATCACCTAAGAAAAGAGTCATGATTCCAAGATTTCATTCCAGTCCCACGATTGTAATGATCGATTCCAAGGGAATCATGATACAGGTTTAATTCCATTCTGCCAAAAGCTCATCTTTTTTGTTCCTTAGATAAGGAAAATCATCATTGCATTATTCAGTTAAATTAGGTGGGTTCTGACATCAGTTAAGTTGGTAAATCAAGATCAGAACAGTGGTCTTTCACTCTGACGTTCAATGAAGAAAATACAGCCTAAAGAAAGAATTTCATTTTGCCCGATCTCATTACAGTTAACCAAAAAGGTCTGACAGTTAAAGGAGCAGCTAACGAATAATATAAACTGCTAAAATCAGCAGCCCTAATGTTAGATAAATGGCCTTCTGTACTTATTCGGTTGGCTGATGATGATCAAGTTGGCAATGATAAAAGCAAATGGAGCTTATAATGATTTACTCTGCTGAAACTTTCCCTTATCGATGCACTTATACTTGATACAAGTTCTTTTTCCGCCTACTCATCAGATCCAATTTACATCTTCAAAGATTATAAGTAATAGAAAATCCTACAAAGTTGTATTACACTATTGCTTTTGTCTTCACAAGGCCTGTGACAAGTTACCTTACATATACAACTACTACCTTTATCCCAGAAAAAACTTGACCCGACGTCAATTTGGTTAGTCCCAGATATTTGACCTATTTGCTTAACTACAAGTTTACCATTCCACTGTAATTGAAACTAATACAGATCTGTACTTTAGACACGGTGTGACATCTTTCCGTCCAGCTATTGTAGCTTTCATATTTCAAACTATTAGTTAAACCTTGCTCTACAAGATAAAATAATCTATTTGAACATTCTTTTCTTAATCTCATCACTAGTCAAAGTTGATCAAGTTTTTCAGGACAGACGCACTTTGAGAAACATATATTTACAGTCAGTTGTAATAAACTACTCAGACTTTCTCCATTGCTCTCCATGCAAGATAAAGGGACCAACTATTATTGGATAGGGAGAAAGAATGTGGAGGAAAGAATAAATGAAAATATGACTGTGAGAGGTACTCACTTGAGAAGATAACCGTATCATTAACTTCAGAAAACGGGGAACAAATGACCAAGTTACAATTGATGCAACACTGAGGTACATGGACAAGATGAGCAGCCTAGACAGAGCAAACAGTATATTTAGTCTTGCCCTAAGCCTCAAATTGCTGCCAACTCAAACAAAAAACGTAGAAAGAAGCACTCCCATAAGAGCTTACAGTTTTCCCATAGAGATTATTCCATGCAAAAGCCCACTGTTACCTCCAAGAACAGGAAGCAAAGCGAACAATAAACCAACAGTGCAGTCCTGGGGATAAAAAAAAAGGACCAACCTTCTTGTAATATGTAGATATGAATAAATGAAATGACCAATAAACAAGTTTCGATGTCTGGTAATACACAGATTTTACCTGAAAAATCAGTGTTCCAATCGTCACTTGACCATGAAGAGCATTGTTGCTGTTTTTCTCAACTAGAAATTTCACCACCTGTTTATTTAAGATGGTTAAAGTACATCATTAATGAGACTTACCTTATTTCAGGACAAGGATAAACTGATAAGAATCATGGTTTTATATTATACCACTGCTGTTGATGACATTGACAGGAAGCAACCAACAAACACTCCCTCTGACAAGTTTGCACCACATAACTGCAGACCAATACAGAATGCATAATTAAGCATCAGTAATTGAAGAAGTAAAATTCAGTTCCAGAGCCATACCATTGCAGTTACGCCACACAGAAACATAAGGATAACAATTTGAAGCAGCCCTCCTAGAACAGCAACAGGACCGACAACTTTTAGCTGCATGATAGTATGTTAGGAGACTGCCCCAAGTAATGAAAGATATATGCTGAAATACCGAGATATTTTCTCAAATTAGTTCTGACAGTTGTATGGAAAAAGCATCACATAGAATGATATAAAGCACCTTTGTCAAGGAAAACTCCAGACCTAAAGCAAATAGAAGGAAGACAACTCCAAACTGAGCAACAGTCTCAACCTGCAATACAATCAACATTGAAACAGATGAGCTTAGGATAGCCCACACAATTACGTCATAATTCAATGAGTTCTCAGTCAAGAATATGTTAGTAACTTCAGACTTGTATTTATCGAACTCTCGTTATTCAAAAAGGAAAAGGACATTTTTTTTTGAGAAGGTAACAATTAAAAAAAAGAAGGAAAAGGACATAACAACAAAATAATACACATCTCACAATCCATGCCAAATATATTAGTCTTTTGAAGCCAAAAGCACTGCAGCATTTTGCTTGAAACGTGCTTAGCCAAATGTAGACATAATGTTCCATTTCAGACCAATCTTAGATGCTCTTCTGTTAGAGATATGAATGACAGACACCAACACAATCAACCAGACAACCTTTTATCCAATATACCATAACCAGGTAACAAAAATTCGGTCTTGTATGCATAAGAAATACTAACAGAAAGACCAATAACTTGCACCAACTATGAAAGCATGCAATAACTCCATTCTAGACAACCCTTTGGACATCTATTTATCCTACTTCCCACAAACTCCAAAAATCAAAAAGAATATCTGAAAACCTTTCCATTTTTTGCACCTCAGGTTCTGCTATTTTTGCAGTACGTGAAATAATGCATTTTATCAGGAACAACTATTCACAATCGACAGAACGAACATATTCAATGTTTGCAGAAACCTTGTTGCATAAGCTTATTAGATTAATGTCATGTTGATGAATACAAGGATAATTTCTCCAAGTTGTACGGCTATTTTTAGTTAACAAGATGAATTGCTCGATACTCACTAAGATTTGCAAAAGCTACTTCAAGTCAAATCTGAAGTTTAAGATACCTAAATATGCACCTGGGTAATATACATTACTAGACACCCTAACTCGTAAATGCTAGGATATCATATGTGATTCTTAGTCTCTCAGAAAATCTAGATAGGAAGTCAAGCACTCAATCAGAAAACTCTTCCACCAAAATGATTTTCCAAACCCAAACATGATTTTGAAAACATTCATGTCTTTTCATTTGAATCAAGTTCTTTGGTCTCTTTCTTCTCATTTGGAGGATCTGGGTATCTGTGCAAGTCTGGAATATGAAAATCTGAAATGTTTGCTAAACAACGAGCAAATTATGAAGCAGTCAAAATCTTAGAACAACAAGGAAACTAGTACCATCTGGAGAAATACAAAGGCTTCCTGAAATAGCAGGGACACTAGCTTGCTTGTAACAGCAGATGGAGACAAAAAAGAAGACGCATGCCTACGATTTACAAACCTAAAAAGAGAAGTTTAGTATACTAAAACTGATATGGAAATCTCTGTTCTATATTTGAATGATATCAACCTTGGGAATGTAGGAGTAGATGAATGAACGTTACTAAAGAATATAAAGTGATTAACCATGCATGAGCCAGTCACAAAGAGCATTTGCTTGTTAATTGAAGTGTTAAGCACTCAAGCTGCCAGGATTGCATACTAACTGGCAACCAACAATGGTATCACATATGACAAGAAATGAGAATTGGCTTGAACAACAAACCTCTAAGCATCCCAAAGAAAACGCACAAACAAAAAGAAAGCATCTCTCTTCATCAAATAAAGAAACTGAAGGAAACAAAACTCGTTCTGTTTTTCCACTTCACACTCATGTATATCTTTTTGTCCGTTAACATTTTTAGTGTCCACATGGACAAGAGTACCAAATTACAAGATTGCATTGTTGCTTCATCCATGGCCATTAATGACAAACAAGCAGATATGATTGCTCCTCATAAGCCGTGTGGATTACATACCTGTACCATTTCACTGATGAACTTCAAACCCCCTGGTCCAATTAATGAGCCAGCAAGAAGATAACCAACGATAACCTAACACAGGAAATCATGATTAAACATGTTTAGTACTAGGGTTTAATTGATATTTAGATTTATAAGCACAGAAGATCATAATCGACCAAGGAAGATTTCACAAGCTTCTCAAAAGACAAACCGGTTGTCCTAAACAAGAAAAGATGATTCCACCAATGGCAGCAGAGACTATAACCACCACCAAGTCTGAGATAAGTCTGCAGAAACACATTTTAGCAAAAACTAAATGTCACTAGCTGTGAAAACTACATAAAGATGAAAATCCCCAAATATCTATGTTTCATCAACGATATTGCCAGAAAGAAAAGGATTAACATCAACCTCACATCAACTTGAAGCACTGGATATTTTGATTTCTTATTTGACATGACAAACACATTGTCCTGCCATCAAGCAAAACAGTATAAAAAGAGCTAGTTAAGCACACATTACAGATATTGACCAATGTTTCCAATACCAATTCAAGCACAGATTTTTTACCTTTTTGTCAATCAATGTAGTTACATCATCAGAACCTTCATTTTCAAGGGAAAAAACATCTTGTAATTTGAATGATCTAGTGTCACTGCAAAAAGGACAAACAAATGAATAACTTCAGCAAAGTTCATCCAAAGCCAGGAGAGCCATGTGATTTATTTTGGTTACAACTTCTTTGCTTACTTTGTCTGTTGTGTCTCATTCTTCTTGATCTTCTCATGGGTAATTTTGGCCACAGTCTCCAACACTCCCTATTAGAAAGAAAGGTAAACTTTTCATAAAAAGAGCAAAGAACCACCGGCCAGAACCAAAAGTAAATTGTACTAGTGTCACACTGCGACAAGGTATGTCATAATGTTGGGCTTGTTGGCAGTCTGATAAACTTTAAAACAGATGTTGAAGTTTGAATGGATATGCATGTCTTCAAATTTGACACACTCTGGGCAAAGAAAATACGCATATTGCTCTACCCGCTAAATAAGCATTTCTTGTATTGCCTAAGCTTCAACAAATAATCTTCTATTGATCTTAATATCATAGATAATGATTAACATGATCAAAAAGCAAATCAGTGACAAGTATTAGTCGCTTAGCTTACTTTCTCATCAGCCACTGTACTGTTAAAGCTGCTCCCATCCGAACCTAATCAAGTGACAAAAGCAACATGATTGATCAAATATTTCATCACACAAACTGCAATGCAATTTCCTTTAGTTCACTATTTTGCAGAGATTGTTTATCAATAATCGAGCATAAGACATTAATGCATCATCAAAAGGTGTATAATATATCATTATATGCTATCAATTACCAGAACCTCCATCAACCAGGCACAAAAATGGTACCATTAAGAATATTTTTAGATGTACCTTCTTTAGTTACTGAAAGTAAATTTGTCATGAACTCATGAACAGACCGTAAACACAACATCAACTTGTATTCTATTTTCAATACCACACGAAAATAAATCAACTTGAAACCAGTGATTAAACAAAATTTGAAGAAAATAAAAAAAAGGTTAAAAAAAATAAAGAGAAAAATGGAGAAACCTTACCTTCAGGTTGATCGTTCTCAGAAAATTCTTTCTCGAGAACGCGATCGAACATTTTGGCAATAGTACCGTCGTTAGTGTCGGGAGCGGAAGAATTAACTAAATTACCGTAAAACCTTTCCCTAATCTCCTTCTCAGATCTAGCCGCTAAGGCCGTCATCCTGCCACAATAAGCAACCGACAGGAAGAGGAATATCCAGGCTCGAAGCTTCTCTCTTCTCACCAAAACCCTCTCCATTTGCACACTTCGCCGGAAAATAGAGAGAGAAATTTGGAGGAGATTGAGAAGAAGAAGAAGAAGAAGAAGAAGAAGAAGAAGAAAGGGGAAATGGAGACGCAAAAGGGTTTGTTGTTGAACTTTCAGTTCCTTAGATCGAAGGCAAAAATTAAAAAGAAGTTAGAGAATACGGTCTGTTATTTTTTCCAGGGCGGGATCCAAGTCTGACCAATTTATAAAGTTTCAAGTACTATATTAATTTTTCGGATTCTTTTTTTTTTTTGTTAAATTTTACCAATTAAAAATTACATATATAATTTTTGAAATTAAACTATATAAAAACTATAAGGTATAATAAAAGAATGTTTAGTACTTAAAAACTCTCTCAAACCTGATTTAGTTTGCAACTTACATTGTGTAAAGTTTATACTGTCCCTACAAATATTAATTAACACATAGTCAATAATTATTTGTTCTAATTATATGTTTTCCCCCCTTATATCTCTCATTTATTTGTTCTTCCTACGGTTTAGAATGTCGGAGCTGTCCAAAGAGTATATATATTTTCTGGCCAAGCTTGTCGCAAATCTTGGCTGGGAAAAAATAGATTTCACACCAAAAAAAAATGGCACAAACTTAAAAAGAAAAAAAATTAAAATAATGCATGTCTAAATTTTAGAAGTGTAGTTACACCATAAATAAATGTGTTTGAGCAAACAAATGCTAAACTAATTAATAACAAATTAATTGGGTGAATCTCAGTTGAACTTAATAATCTCTAGATCAAATGGAAAAAGATTTAGATATAATGAGAACAGTATAGGAGTGTTAAGAAGTATGTTCAATGCCTTATGATTAGAAAAATATTTAATATCCTAGAAATGCAATAAATGACAGAAATGGCAAGAGTTATAGTATAAAGGGATTGTCACCCAATGATTATGTGATTAGGCGCCTCCCCTCTCTGACGATGTAAAAAGGTATGCAGCAGATGTGAATGTAGAATCTTGAGATTTATGGATGAAAGTTAAACATCATGTGCTTGAGTAAAGAGAATAAGACAATTCTTTCGTATATTCTTCTCTCCTTTTTACAATATGTTCTCTCTTCTTTAAAAAAATGGCAAACCCTCCTTGTTCACCAGCTCTTCCTATTTATAAAGGACATTTTCCCCAAAAACCCTAATAAGTACAACATAAAAAATATCCAAAAGGCATATTCTTCCTATCTCTTTCTAAGTTCAAACTTTTGTTACTATCTTATTTCGACTGACCTCTCTTGGTCATCATCCTTTGTCACGACGACCATCAGTCGTTGTGTTGTGGTGACCTCGTTCCATGTCCTGCTTATCTGTTGTCGTGGTTGCCAAATTTGGACCCACACAATTAGTCCCCCCGCTTGTTGAGGTCGTGGCTCTGCACGTCCTTGATAAGCGGACATCGTCCGTTTTCGTTAAAGAATTTGGCTGTTGAATTATGCCGGTTTGGCCAAGGCCGAGAGAAATATGCGTTCCACGGAACCCTGGCTGGTGTATTTTATCGAGATATTACGTCAATCCCACATGCGTCATCATTACGCACCTTCCCGAGATAGCGTCTGATTGCTTGTCACTTTGGTTTTAGCGCCATTGGCAGCCTTCCGCTTTGATTCTTGCGCCATCCAATCCTATAAATAGGTGCAGGTTTTATTTTTTCAAGCTTTTAGCCATTTCCTTTCTTGTGTATGTATTGTCTCCTTTGGTCATCTTTTTTAGTTCTTTTATCTCAATTCCGGTAGCTCTGCTTCTTGTTTTTCCGTTCAGTCACCGTTACTTATTCTAGGTTCACCAGCACTCCCTTTATTACCAAGATGCCCGAACCCACCATGCACGTGATGAGGTTTCCGACGCCACGCTGTTGTCTATGGCCCCTCCTTCAGGTAGCGAGGGTGTAGCGGTTGAGGAAGGAGATAGTTTCCCCACCGTAAAGGAGATACTCCCCAGAAACCCCATGACCAGGAATGATTTCCACAAGGAGCCTGCCCCTTCCCCCGTTCCGGTGATCTCTGAGACTGGGCCAACTCACATAAATGAACTCCGGTCCACATACAATATTCCTTCTCATGTCGAGATGGTTCTAGCTGGGGGGAGACCTTGTGGAGGTCCATAGACCAGGATACTGTGCTTTATATGTGTATCCTTTTGTGATCGGTCATACCCTCCCTCTTCTTTTTGTTTTTGAATTCATTATGTATGCCTGATCTATTTAAGCTAGCTTTTCTTCCTCTGCATGTTAGACCCTCATCATGGAGATTGAGCACGATCCGAGGGATAGGCGGAAGACGACCGTTTTTGGGAAAGTGGGCTCTAAATACAAGGAGTACTGCACCAAGCATCGTGCATTGGCCGATCTCTTTACTTAGGACAGCGATTTTCAGCTGTTCCATGACGGGCTTAAGCAGAAGGAGAAACTATTGGCGCAAAAGGTCGAAGTGCTGAAAGAGCGGGACGAAGAGCTGATGAAGGCCATCGCTCGATGTAGTGAACTTGAGGCGGCTCTTAAGGCCAAGGAAGATGAATTTGAGGTGAGCAAGGGGGTGATGGCCGAGAATGTCGACCTTCAAGCACGGATGGCTACCTTAACTGCTGAGCTTGATAGAAGGGCGGCGGAGGCTATCGACCTAAGAGGCGAGCTGAGTGTTAAGACTAATAGATTGGCTCGTGCTGAAAGGGATAGGGCGACTGCCATCTCTAAGGTAGCGGCTTTGGAAGACGCCCTTCGCGTTTGTAGATCTGAACGGGAAAATGAGATGGAGACATCCACGCTCAAGGTAGTGAGGTTTGAGGAACGTATCCAAGATCTGGAGGCGGAGTTGTCCGTGTTGAACGAGCAAGTTAATGCTTTGAAGGTGGAGGATGTACGACGACAATTGCAACCCTCTACGACTCATGCTTCGGCTGATCCTGTCGTGTCGCGGGAATTATATGAGATGTGGGTCCATGTGGAGGCTCGACTGGACGTATACAAGTCCCTTCAGGCTAATGGGAAGGTTTTTGAGGTAGAACTTCGGGATGTGCGTGTTAAAGCATGTGCAACTCGTATGTCTTGTGGTTACGACCCCGATACGCCTGACGGGGATAATATTGATGATGATGATGCCGACGGGCTTGCCTCCGATTCTTGGTATAATGAGGAGTATGCCATGGGGGATGACGCGGCGTAGGACTTTGTTGTATTCATTTTTCGCTTCGCTGTTTTTGTGAGGGCGTCCTTGAGCCCTTTGTAAGAAAAACTTTTGTAATATATCCAGTTGTAATGGACCGATTACTTTTGTCGTGTACCTCTGAATTGTTATTTTTGTTTGTTGCGAGGGGTCCTTATTTTTTCATCCTAGTGTGATGTTTTGTCGTAGACAACCGTAGATCTTAGTAACTCAAACAAGGTTGTATAAAGTAATTTGGGCGATGCTGGATGTCATGCAATTCGAACGACGCTGAAGATTAAACAATTGGGGCGACGGTCTTCGGCCGTGGGGGTGTTATTTCGAGTTGCTCGAAATGTTAACCCGTTGTAATTCGAGCGAGGTCAAATATTAAATGATTCGAGCAAGGTCGAATTTTTTATTTGACGATGGCCTTTGGCCGTAGGGGTGTTATTTTGAGTTGGTCGAAATATTAACCCGTTGAAATTCGAGCGAGGTCAAATATTAAATAATTCAAGCGAAGTCGAATTTTCGTTTGGCGATGGCCTTTGGCCGTAGGGGTGTTATTTCGAGTTGGTCGAAATGTTAACCCGTTGTAATTCGAGCAAGGTCGAATTTTCATTTGACGATGGCCTTTGGCCATAAGGGTGTTATTTCGAGTTGGTCGAAATATTAACCCGTTGTAATTCGAGCTACGTCGAATATTAAACGGTCCGAGCGAGGACAAATTTTTGTTTGGCGATGGCCTTTGGCTGTAAGGGTGTTATTTCGAGTTGGTCGAAATGTTAACCCGTTGAAATTCGAGCGAGGTCGAATGTTAAATTGCAAAAGAACGATGGAGAGTAAAATGTTGCTTATTTTATTTGCTGGAGTATTGTACACGTCGGTTTCATACATATATTGGAGTTTCTCTCTATCCAGTCCTTTCATCGTTCGGCTTGGAGAGCGCGTCGGCAGGCGGCGTGATGAATTATAGTCTGAACTTTGAGGCGTCCCCCTCATCACCTCATTAAAAACCTCCCCAAGAAAACCCGATTGGGACAAAACCCGAGTGAGGGAAAAAGAGTACAACTTGAGGGGCGCCATTTTTCAGAAGTTGAAGTGTTTGAGATGAGCGATGTTCCAGTTGTTTTGTAGTAGTTTTCCTTCCATTGTTTCTAGTTGGAATGTCCCTTTGCTTGCTGTCACTGTGATTTTGTACGGCCCGTCCCAATTGGTTCCCAGTTTTCCTTCTTTTTGGTCTTTGGTTGCTTGTGTTTTGGCCTTGAGATCATAGTCCCCGACTTTGAGTGGTCTTATTTTGGCCTTCTTGTTGTAGTACCTTTCTGCTTGTTGTTTTTGGGCTACCATCCTTACATGAGCCATGTCTCTTCGTTCTTCCACTTCGTCGAGGTCTTATTTTCTGTTCTCATCGTTGTTTGGTCCATTTTCATCGGAGTATCTCAGTCTAGGTTCTCTGACCTCGACGGGTATAACGGCATCAGTCCCGTAGACTAATGAATATGGCATTCACCTGTGCTTGTTTTTGGCGTGGTGCGGTAGGCCCATAATACCTCTGGTAGCAGTTCTGGCCATAGCCCTTTGGCATCCTCAAGCTTTTTCTTTAGGATATTCAATATTGTTTTGTTGGAGGATTCAGCTTGACCGTTACCAGTGGGATGGTATGGCGTGGAGAGTATTCACTTGATGCGCCATTTTGAAGAACTCAGTCGTCTTTTTTTCGGTGAACTGAGGTCCATTATCGTAGCTGATTTCTTTGGGGATGCTGAAGCGGCATATGATGTTTTTCCATATGAATGTGATGACTTCTTGTTCACGTATTTGGGCGAACGCACCTGCTTCCACCCATTTGGAAAAGTAGTCAGTTAAAACTAAAAGGAAATGTGTCTTACCTCGCCCTACTGGGAGGGGTTCGACGATGTTCATTCCCCATTTGATGAACGACCATGGTGAAATGACGGAGTGAAAGAGTTCACCCGCTTGGTGTATCATGGGTGCGTACTTTGGCACTGCTCGCATC